TTAAAGAAAGGTGCAGTAGTAATTTGCCCTCCCCACGCCCCTTACATGAGGAGACTTCTACAACCCGAAGGCTTGATAAGGGAACGTGAGGCGAACAAATTTGCAAAATTTTTCCGGGCGTAACAAAAGAATGAACCTTCCTCTATCAGAATCAGAAAAAAACGGCTGCCCCAACCTGCCACTGCTTAAAAAAATGGCGATTGAAATAAATTACACCCATCTTGGCCGCAGCGCACGATGATGGAAAAGCAGTACCAGATACGATTATTAACTAGTTAACTGCATTCAACGTGTATATTCGTCACCTAAAACTTTATTTCGGCCTTGCAATATGCCATAATAAATTTTCATAATTGTTGAAACTATTTTCACAAATGATTTGGTATAGATCATAATAAATATAAATAAATATATTATAGTAACACATGTCTGGTCATTTTTTAATTATTATATCCGTTTTCATTATAGTTATTAACAGTTTTAAGTTAAATTTTTGTTAAATAACATAAACTATGTCTAACAAGTGAAGGATATTGAACGCGTTACAGTTTATACGTGAATATCTTGACACCCTGTAGTTCAATATGATTTATATTAATATAATTTAAGTATTATAATGTAGGCAAAAACTTCCCAAAATTTCATTAAAATATTTCCAATAGAACCAAAGTTACAGAAATTTGATCGCCAAAAGCAGTTTTGTCCCACTGTGCGCCGACCCGCAAAGCGACCCGGCCAAGCCGCGTCCAGACGCCGGCAAGGCGGCCACCCAGTGCGGAGCTGACACCGGCAAAGCGGACGCCAGCACCGTTGGCACCCGGCGACCGTCCGCCGAAATCACCGGCCAAAAGTTTGACGGAAGCAGCAGCTTTGACCGCAGCACCGGATCTGGGGAACCCGGCACCAGCGACGCGCAAACCGGCCCCAATATCGGCGGAGGCAGTGGCAGACGCGGCCTGGGCCAGTCACTGCAAATCACCGCAGCCACAGCCGATCAGGACACTGGCCGCCGCCTGCACGGTGGACCACGCGGACAGAACGGACCAGGTGAACACCATCCCGTACACCTTGGCGGATGGAACAGTAGTCCAGATCTACACCCGCATAAAACGACATCGTTTTACCCGCAATGGGCGCAGATGGACACTAAACTTGGACGACAAGGGAAGGGTCATCCGCTGCGTCTACACAGAGGTAATTTTCCTGGCCATCCACATATTTTGCGTGACCAGCCGAATACGCCTGGTCTCCCCGGAGGAGGAGGGATTGCACAGCGGTCCACCGATTCCACCTCCGCCACCGTCGATAGGAACGATATCCGCAGGATGATCCGCTCCGCCTCCTCCGCCACCACCTCCGACACCTTTCGGCGGAGTACCTCCACCGCCGCCTCCGCCACCTGGAAGCATACCTGCTGCACCACCGCCACCTCCGCTCATTGGAATACCTGGAGCACCTCCTCCGCCTCCGCCTCCGGCAGGAACCGTACCGACAGGACCTTGTCCTTTACCTATACCTCCGGTTGGAGGTTGGAACCCTGCAAGCAGAGCGTGTATGAGAAAAGGACCTCTATGTCCCGAGGTACCTATGAAACCGCTCTATTGGACGAGGATCCTGGTACCAGTGGTGCCCACGGAGCGTGGCTCTATCGACGCTGGATTGACTGTTCGCAGTTGCCTTGTCGATTCCGAGGAAGCAAACCTACGAAACCAGGATGGCCGGCATCGCTTGGGTATATCGCCTGCAGAAGAACCAGGTAGTCAACGAGCTACATAGACTACACCAGTCAACGCTGGGAACGTGGGTCCAGCTCCGGACCAGTCTGGTAGACTACGTCCGAGAACACCAGGACGAGTTTCCAGACAAACCGCAAGACAAGCCGGGATACAAGGAGGAAGTCGACCATACCCGAGATTACGAAGAGTTCCACGGGGGGATGGCCCGGGAATTGCTCCTGACACACCTGGGCAACCGTCCGGCCACGGCCACATCAACACCAAACCGCGGGGAAGAGACGAACGCCGAGACAACGGCGTCTCCAGCAGGTCCATCCGCTCCACCAGAGCCAGTCGTTCGACACCACGAAGACCGGGTAAAGACGATGGAGATCATGAGAAAATGGAACTACCATTTTGACGGACGAGACCCGCATGTGTTCCTGGAGCAGCTAGAAGAACTACAAGATGCGTACGGCCTAACCGACCACCAAATGCGTTCGGGCTTCACTCAATTATTACGAGGCGAAGCCCAACAATGGTACAGAAACGCAGCGAACAAAGTATGCTCGTGGCCGAACCTCCAGGAACAGCTACGAAAATTCTTCGTGCCAGCCGGGGAAAAGAGGCGATTGGACCAGCAAATCGCCGGTCGCAAACAAGGTCCGGACGAGCCACTGAGGACCTTCATTAACGAAATAACCACGTTAATGCGCCGCAGAGGAGAACACACCGAGGCAGAGCTCCTATACACGATCTACTTCAATATGAAGCCGTCGTTTCAGCTCTACATCAACCGAGCTGAAATTAAAGAAGTCAGCGACCTGATCACCAGAGCAGAAACTGTGGCCGAGCTCGTGGCCGCAGAACAAGCCAGCAAAACAAAAGGCGAGGAGCAACGTGCTGCCAGGACGATCGCTTGAATCTAGCTGGCACAGTTTTTTCATTTAAGTATCGTGTGGCCTTAGCGGTTTCATTAAACAGCTCATCATGTGCATCCTCCGCACCTATATCCATTAAAAATTGCGACAGTTTGGAAGTTCGGGATGATGCTGCAAAATTGTTTATACATAAACTTCTTTATATAATTACACTCACACTCGCCAAATTTATCTAGTATGTATATATGTATTGTCATGATATTACGATATTATTGTGAAATTACCTGTAATGCTTTCATTCGCTGTAAATTTATTCGCAGATGATCTTTCTATTTCTCTTTCTGCGTTATTACAAAACAAGGATATTTTATTTAATAAAATATCGAATGTCATTCTTTTCTGTATATGATTTAACAGACGATTTTTTACACGTGTATCAATGAGCATTGCAAGAATAATAGGCTCACAAGTATAAGTAAACTCGAACCTCTGTTTAAAAATTGTCGTTATATTTGTAACGAAGTCTTGAAATAACTCATTAGAATGCTCTGTCGAAATGGATTGCATTGTTTTTTCTATGCCAATCTTTCTCACTCGCTCCTCGTGGCGAGATGCGAGCGGGCTAAAGCAAACGAGACCAAGCTCCGAAACAATAAATAATAATTAATGAGCAATGTTTTTTTTTTATTCGCGAATGTTCGAAAGCTATGCTGCTGCTCAGTAACAGTATTAGAAAACGTTCCATGACGGTTTCATCGGTGTATAATGTACGCGTATACGTCGATGCTACGTACAATTATGGCCCGGCTAATTGCATTATCTAGCTTGCAAATGTGTGAAACTTGAACGTTGCCGCTCGTACATTCGACGCGCGCATCGCGTCCAACTATGCTACCTGATTAACCAAACTGAATTATCATATTGGCAGGAATTATGTAAGTTACCCGTGACAGATCGATAGGAAAGCTGTCGATATTGATTCGAGCTACGAGTTGCGAATAAATTATAAGGTCATCGTATACGTAACGACGTTAGAATAATTAGCGCAATCTCTGCTTTAATCAAAAGAAATAAGTCTACCAGTCTGATCATTCGATTTTAATATTTCACTCGTTGCCTTGTGATTTTCTTTAAATAAAAAGAAAATTAAGAACGCTTATCAGACATGAATTCACACGCTAGTTTAGTGATACCAGAGTTCATTAGATTAAACGATACCTAAATTTACGAGTATCCTACTGGACAAGAATCACGACCGTCCAATACGTATTATTACTACTTTCTCCGAACGGGTTTCAACATTTATCACGTCATAGAAAGGTGCTGTCGAGGTTCCATAACGCTAACACGCGCGTTATAGCGATTAATTAACACCCATAGTTAAAGAAAATGCTGAAACTTGTGTACCTCTTCTTCGATCAACACGTCTCAATTCAGTAAACGATAACACTCGATTTGAACGGTATCGGTGTATTTCTATTCTCCTTACAAAAATGTACCTCGTTTAGATTGCAACTATTCATTAATCTTCTCCCTGTCCAAGTGATCCGGCAATTAGCTCAATTTAGATAGTATTATATCTTGTACCGAAAAAGAATTATTTGCTTAGATCAAAATCCTGCGGAACGTGATTTAATTCCCAGCCTCGGGAAACGGTACATAATAACAGAGTCGTTTTAAATGATCTACTAGCTGGCTCAATTTCCTGGCGAATGTGTAAAATAATTGCACGTATCGTCGAGAAGATTACGCGCATAAATTGAGGCTTATTTCAAGTTTCGTTTTAGTTTATTAATAACGCAGAATCGTAGATTGCGCTTATTAATAAAAATATCTGCATAGAGATCTCTGTATACGGGATGTTCCATTTTTATTTCAAAAGCTATCGATTTTATAAAATAATTTTTGATTTCTTTGAATTTTAACCCTTAAATTTAAATTTAATTTTTAATCCTCTTTCTTCTATAAAAAAAATTTTCCTTCGCTCGATTAACTTAAAATACTCGCGCCTGAAAAATATCATTTTGAATGTATTGCTTTTGAGACAGCCCGTATAGCGGCTACCAATTTCTGCTCTACTGAGCGTAGTTGTTCGACCGTGATAATATAGGATGTATAATATATTACATGTAATACACGATACGTCTTGCTACGCCGGCCGCAATTATTCCGCACATTCTCCATCATTTCCTGTAGGTCAGTGTGAAATTCATTGCTTTCCATCGCTGATGTTTTCCGACATGTTTGTTCTTTTTTTATCCTGCACCAGATGTGCCTGTCCTCGGAAACGTTTGTCAATGAGCATGTTCCCGTAACGATATCCTTTGTCCCTCGCATGAACCCAATGGTTATATTTTGTGCGTTTAATTAACAGAACGGGCTCATTTTCTGACCGTTGCGCAGGATGTCTGTAATGAAAGATTCGTCGTTGGGTACGGAGAAATTTGATGGGATAAGGAAGTCGAAGGTGTAATTTTCTAGAGTATGATTATTAAAAACAAAATAAGCTATCGCGGATCTAGGCTCTCTTTAATGCATCACTTGATCGATGCACAGGAATTTTATCGCGCAAAAACATGATCCGTGAAAGGATGAAAATGTTAAAAGCATTCTTTTGTTTCAACGACCAGTAGAATCCGATTCGTTTTTACCATTTCAACGGAATTCGAGATTTCACTTGATAAGTACAGTTCGTTGCACAGCGGTTTTTGTGAACCATCCGTGACAAAGTGAAAGTTGTTTTTTGAAAGATGTCTGGGGAAAAACGTGACGGGCCTTAGGAGCCATTTTCAGTGATACATTTCGCAATTGCTAATTAGGATACAAATTAATTCCAAAAAAACAGACACACCATTCTGAATACTTGTTCCAATTTTTATTTTCTTATCATAATTATAAGTTACACGTCGAACTTTCATATTATTCCTTGTTTCGTCGTAAATCAATGCGTTTTTGCCACCAAATTGATGGCGTATTAAATATCTCGTTAATATTGTGCTGTTAAAAACTGCAATAATTGTTGGTCGTTATTAAACGTTAGTGGCTGCTAATTACACTCGAGAGGGCTGTTGATTTACGATTCTAAGTACAACACACCTTTCCCCTTCCCATTTCTATTCACTTTCTTCCAATTCTTGTTCTCTATTTACGGGAGCATAATTACTCGGATGCTTTGGTCACAGTTACTATGTTACGACGAAAGGAGAATTCGATCGGCTTTCTCCGAATAATTTATCTGCCTCTTCCAAAGACAATTTACGAATCGGTGTTTAATTGAACGAAAGTAGGGTCCCGGTGTTATTTATCGAATGGTCGCGCGTTCATTTGCTCTTGATAAGACACTAATTATTCTTACCACCGTATTTTTCAACACTTTCATGAGCGCATATTTCGTGGGAATAAGAAAAGGAAATTAACTATTTCATATTAACCGAGTAACCGCATTTCACGAAATAATTGAAACGTACGGCTACTCTGCAAAAAGGAAAAATTAAATCCTACCAACTTTTCATCACGTGATTATATTTCTACATAGTATGAAAAGCAATCTAATTCGACGAAGAAAGCATATCACTGTAATTATCTCGTACTTAAATGCTCTTTTATAATGATACCTTTAAAGCTTTCATATTTCATGTGAAAATATTCTGGATATTATATAGAGTAAGAAAAACACGAGATAGAACTGATACCACGGAGAAAGTGTAATAAATAACGTGACATTTTCTCTGTGAGTCTTACAGTTTTTGTGTAATTTGTTACTGGATCAGTGTTCTTAATAAATAATTATCGATTAGATTCTAAATTATGTTAAGGGGATTAAGTACACTTTCTACACTTTGTATCAGAGTTTCATACATTTCAAAAAAAAAAAAAAATTCATTTTAGAATATCCTAGTTTGATGAAAGCGAGACTTCGGTATCTCTCCGTCTGTGAAATCGTGTGCGTACTCGTTTTTAAGGGCACGGTGTATAGTTCGAAAAAAGAAAGTACCGGAGGAAAGTATAAACGAAAAAAGGGGTCACTGAAGCCGTACGAAGTGAATATGCGTATAGATATAAGCAGCTTGACCTGAAATGTCTGTTCGATTATTCCTACTGACATGACGCGATGCCAAAAAAAGACACGTGTATCGTGTTCGGTATTAATAATCAAAACTTTTTCGTTACATCGAGACTGAAAAAAAATTTTATCGTTATAAAGATCAGCTACTTTGGAAAGTAACTTTCACCAGGAGCTAGCAATGTTTATCAAGAATTTACGAAATATAAAATAAAATTATTTCCTCTGAATTGAACGGTTGTGTCATTATGGAATTTTTTTTTTTCAGGTATGTTGGAGAAATGGGAGTCCCTTACGACCAGAGTCGAGGAAACACAAATGGCGAGCGCGCTTCATCGCGAATTGACAGCTTTGCAAACGGAATTCAAAGCAGCACACGACAGGCTCTTCTCTTATGAAATCGCATTGGAACAGCCGCACGTGTTGGATGAGCGCATCAATCGTATCACGGTAAGAATTGTATAATCGCTAATTACGATGCAAATAACACTGCACGTAGCAGTTCTGTCTCGTTAAGCTCTCGTACAGACTCGAGTATCAAAGTCTGCGCGAATAAAAAATTTGAATTCGATATAAGAGCGCATACTTTCGCGCATTTTCTTTTAAACGTTTCTGGTTCGTGTCTAGTATAACAATGTCGGTAATGGTTCTATTGTCGGTAAGCGAAGTAGGTTTCCCTTCACCGGTCGGAGCTAGAACAGAAATTCACTATACCGACTATGAAACAGGAAACCCTTTTACCATGTTTGCGACCTGTAGATGGCGGTATGTTGTTCCGTTTTTTAAAGTGGGAAATAGACAAGCGCGCGACTAGTATTATAAAAGAAACATTTAACTTCTTTTTAAAAGTATATCTTCTTCAAATTAATTTGTCTATCAGCAAATTTCTGAAACACTGAAATTTCTTTAACTTATTGTTGATTCCTTTTCAACAAGACACATTTAATTACCATTGAATTTGAAAGCGATCTATGCGGAACAAGCTTCGGCATTATTAAAACCATCGCGGGAAGATGGTCGCGGCGCGAGTAGGGTGGGACGAGTTGATAGTAGGCGAAATAGAAGTAAGAAAAAGAGGGAAAGGGGGTGGTAGCGTAGAGGGTTGAAGTCGGGAAGTGGGCGTAGGGGGTGGCAGCGAAGGAAGACGAAGAGGAAGAGCAGGGAGGGCAGTCAGGAGGCAAGGATAGAGGCAGAGAGTGGTGTAAAAGCGTAGTCGTGTCGCACGTACGCTCGTCTGACGGCGACGTGCTCGACATCGCAACTCGCGAGTGAACGCCGAGCGAACCTAGCCAACCCTCTGAGTTTCCAACCCCCGAGAGTCATCCCTGCCTAACCTCCCAACCCCTCTCTGGAAACCTCTGGAACACCCTACACCTCCACCTTCCGCTCGCCGTCTCTGTCGGTTATTTTCTACGATTTTCTCCACCGAAGACTCTCCTTCTCATTTTCGCCTTCTTCACTTTCTTCTCTTCGATCCATCGTCTTCCACTTTTTTCCTTCCTTCCTTCATCTTTTTCTTGTTCGGGTATCCGGCTTCCCCTGTATCCCCGACATTATCCCTGTCGGCCTCATTGCGAAGACCAAACACATGCTCCCTATCTATCATCAAGATGTATTAGCGTCCAACATTTGCCGGCTGAACTGGTCGGTGTGCTGCATTATGCAGCAGGTAACCCAGGCGCGAGGATGTCTGGCCACCAAACCCGACATGATCCTTCTTGTTTTACATGTTTCTCCGCGGGTTGTACCAGCCTTGCGAGACGTAACAAATAATCTGCATTCGATAGAGTACCTAATTCCCATTTTCAGTGATCGCAGACTTGGCTCGCACGGACGCGAAGCATGGAACTTTTTCCTCTAATCAACGCCGTTTATCTATTTCTAAAGCAACGATACGATTGACCTGAAAGCCGGTCAATCGAATGGTCGCATTCAGTTCCGTGTCGAGTGCCGATTCGACATTAAACCGTGGACGAATCGATTAACCGCGATCGTTCACGGGTGCAGCGACGGCGACGAATATATTTGTCATGCACGACGTACGAGGAAAAGCGCGACGGAATGAGCGAGTGGCACGGCCACCCTCTAGAGGGTAGAGGGTTGGTGTGGAGCTTTGGACTGGGGCCCCAAAGGGGGAGGGGGGGTTCATGCGGTGGGTGGTTACGGGTATGGAGCGGGCTGCTTCTGGCTTCGCGATATGCCTGGAATATCAATGCCAACCACTTTTCGTTGCGACCGCTGTTGGACAGCGGTGCAAACCTGCGTCCGTCTTTCTCTTCATCCCCATGATTCTCCTTCTCTAGTTTCCAAGAGCAAGCCGACTGTCCATGCTGGTACGCACATCGAGCGTGAACCATCGCGTCTCGCCATCGCTTTTCACGCGTCTGACCTCTTTGATACCGTGCCCGGAATCACGCCTGTATCCGTCGTTTACTCGTGCTCGGCTTTGCATAAATTATTGCCTCCCATGAAGAATATCGATTCGCCGTCGAGTCTTTCGCGAACACTTTACTTCGAGCTACGATCAAAGCGTTCGGTGAGGTCGCGTTAGTAACCGGTTACCCATTTCTACAATTGAATTTCTTTTACAAAAAAAGAAGGAAAAAGAAAGCGAAAAAAAATTGCTGCTGTGTATACGAAAAAGGTGCAGAGATCGAAATCAAATGATAATGATAGATCACGGTAGCTGTAACGGATGAAAAACGGTACGTGACATGCGTGTTACATAAATCTGATCTCATCAAATCCCATCGACGACATCATAAATCTTAAGCTTTCTCGATGCAGTCGAGAGAAATCCGTTGATCGATGAAGGCTGATAAAAGTGTTAAATCAAGACTGAATGTTCCCACTTTATCAAAACCTGTTTAAACGACAGAAACAAAAATTCATTACTATTGTGTAATTAAAACAATCTACTCTCTCCTATTAATTCACTAGAAACAAAAACGTTACATTTCAAAAAAAAAAAAAATTCCGTCAGTCCCAAAAGTTCCTCGATTTTTCATCCCTCGATTCACCGCCCTGAACTTTCAATTTACCAGAAAGCGGGAGCTAGCTTTTGGTAGGAATTCGTGTTCGTTCGAAGATCGACGTACAATATAAATGCAAGAAGGAAAGAGTAGTAAAGCTTGTCGTTTCTTCGGCAGAAATTACTCGGTAGAGTACGGGTTGTAAGCTGGATGACCGCAAGTAGGACGATCTTTACGATCCTCCCTCGAACACCGGCTCTGCTCGTCACGCGACGAGAGAAATGACGAGACACAGAGGGGTAGGAAAGACGAGGAGAAAGGAGAAACTAGAAGCTCCCGTTTTTGTTCTCCTACGTCTTGCGTCGTCCTCGTAAACCTGGCTTTATTTATGCTGCCCTCGTCGATCGCCCGCTGCAGTAGGACGACGGGAACGTGACAACGTGACGCGGTTACTCCATCGTCTTACCTGTTGCGCTCTTACAACCCTTAGATCTTCGGTTATGTTCTTCCTGATAAACGTACGTTTATTTCGTTGTTGATGCCGACCTATCCGCTCCTGGATATTATTTTCGTGGTCGACGTAGAAGAAGAGGGTAGTTTGGGTTACAGAGACTTCGATGCTTCTTCGATCACGAGGGTTAATTATTTTTCAACGGACGATAGATCAATTTTTTTCTTTCCTGGGAACAATATTTAAGTATCGTTAATTTGAGAAATCGGTCAGTCGGTACCATTATTCGTGAACAAAGCTTCTTTATCCTAGTTGTACGTCAGGATTCAGGTAACGCGGTAAGTTTTCTTTAGCCTACCACTGTGATCAGTTTATACATCACTTGCACCCCTCGCTCGGTGACGCGAGAACCGAGCGAGCAATTCGTTTGAGTTAACCGAACAGGGCGACCACTAAAAATGTATATTTAATGTTCTAGACCGAACTGGCTGCGTTGAGGGATCGCAAGGCGGCGATGCTGGCTCTGAACGTCTCCACGCACAGACTGATCACCGATCTCGGTAATTCGGCCTCCTTGATCTTCACGGTTCTCAAAGACGGCGTGGCGGATCTCTATCGTGTTTGGGACGAAACCTTCCAAAAGTGAGTACCTTGTATGAAATTTTTTATAATCGCTTAATTATTAAGTAATCGTTTAAGCATTCAGAATAAAGAAGATTAGAATTACTTTAGATATTTCTTACGGCGAGTTTCTTTTCCTGGTAAGGACGCGATTATCGAGTTTCGAACGGTCCGCTTGAATAGCTGCTTTAGGATCATTGACTGACCGTTGGTTGGTCGACGCGTGACGTTGGGCAAATATTATGAGAGGCAATGAAGCCAGGAAAGCAAACACCGGGAACCCCGTGGAACACCATAGGCAGCAAGGGCTCGGATCTTTGGGATTTCGACCCGTGTCACGGGATTACTAGTTTTAGCCGGGATCGCCAGTTTAAGCTTGGACATTTCTAAAGTGACCGCCACCTAGAGGAAACGTCTATTTGAACAGTTTTTTTTCAATGTATACCCTGGCGACCAGTTTTGCCACTACATTATAGAAGCTCGAAAGGTTGAAAGACTAATGTTACGTCATCGAGAAATAACCTAATTATTAATCATTTAATTTATTTTCAAATTATACACGTGATATCGTTTGCATACATATTCAGATACATGGTAATGTTACTCGAGCCAGATGAAGCAAATCACAAATCTTGAAATTGATATGTGTTTCTGCGGGGGAGGCGCACTGGTCGAAACCTTGTTTTAATTGCCGTATGAGCACTTGATTCCCCTGTCTGATAGGGGTCTGACCCATGCAAAAGGGTTGACCAGTGACCCAGTGGGCTTTTACAAAGGTCACTCTTATCCCTCGGTACTGAAATTCCTATTGTTTGCACGAACGCGCACCACTCTTCTTATACACGACGTACAAATCGACCGTTCTCACCCAACCGATTCGTTTCTTTTAACGTTTCCGTCGCCGTTTCTGTATTCATTATTTTCCGATTTTTCACTTATTTGATTCGCACGCCAATGCGGAGGAAAACGAGCAGACCAGTCTTTCTGTAGGGCGTTCGGATTGGTCTCGGATAAAGTGTTTCTGTTTGCCGATAGTGCCATTGGGGAGATCCACTAATAATTTGACGTCTTACTGTTTGCCGAGAGGCAAAGCCTCTCGTTTTACTTTTTATTGTGTTGACCCAGACTGCGATTTTTCCATTCAATTTTCCTGCTAGCTTTCACCGATCTCGGGAATCGGGGATAACTGTCTATCCGATGGAATAGATACTTCATCGACCGAAGAATAAAAACGTACATTTATTTACAAATTAGTTTAGGAATAAATAAAATTTCCAGGTATAAAATTTTTATTCAGTCGTGTCCTATAGAAACTTGACCATTTCTGACCAGGTATTTCAAAGAGGCTTAAAGTTCCTCGATTTTCAATTAGAGGCATAAAATCAGCCCGGTTCATGATCCCAACCCCTCCATGGAACTCAAGGTATCTTAACTGTATTTTTCAGGGGAAATCAACAATTGTGCGCCCTGCAAGCAGTCCAGCAGTTTAGTATACGTTTGGCGGAGCTTCAGTGCGCATTGCGAAGGGATAAAGACACCCTTGCCGTTTTGGACGTTGCTCTGCAAGCAGGGGCCACGTCGGAAGTTGCTTCGTCTGTTCGTCACGTTGCCAGGTTACTGTCCGAGAAACAGGACATGAATTGTCAGGTAAGAATTAAAATTACTTATTAGAAAATCATATGTTTCGCGTTTGTACGAAAGTTGAAAACGATAGGAAGATACCCTCTGCATGTACGAATCGTTATAAAATTGTGCTATAAAATGATAATGGTCCGGTATTTTGAATCCCGGGATGTTCGATTCCATTACAAGGTGGACGTATGCGTCGTCGATCTGTAATGTGTGACGATTAGAGGCACGAGAATGGCTAAAGAGAAGAATTCAGAGGCGAGTGAGGGCCGTTAAGTGCGAGCGTTTTGCATCGTGATCCACGTCTTCGCTCGGATAATGGCTATCCTCGAGTCCACGCTCGGTTTCTTTTATTCCTTTCGTACTTCGATCACGCCTTTCTCCTTTATTTCGCCTGCCTATAATGCCTATTACCATTTATACGGATCTCCCGCTCTCGATGCCCACCCTTGCCTTCTCTTACGTTCGAACAAGCGAGATTACCTCCGCCATTATTCACGCACGAAAACTGATCGATCCAAGGATAGATTCCTGCGTTTCGTGCTTTCTGCGAATACTTTGTTGATCTTCAGTAATCATAGATCGGGAATAATATTCGGCGTTGAAATGATTGACGTGGACGAAATCTTAGCCGATATTCCCACGGTATCCTTGATTTTCAGTCGGTTAGATAGCTGCCAGCAATTATTGAACGTCCTTGGATGGGGTAACGATCCCCGTAGGTATCACTTGTGTGAATGAAACCATTTCCCCGCTTAGATTGGCTGAGATGGAAGAACTCTGGGGATATGGGTCTCGTAAGGAAAGGCGAGATTATAAGACGAATCATGTTTATTGGTTCGTCTTTGAGAGAAAGCTTTTCTCGACTTTTGTTTTTTTTTTCCTCTGGTCGAAGAAGCAAGGGTAGTCCTCCCTAAGGAATCGGAAGAACGTGTTTGCGTTTGGTATAACGGATTCGAAGTTTATGTTGCAGATAAAATATTTAAAAGAAATATTTCAAATCTAAGGTGGAAATTATTCAGTTTATAAACGAAATGAATTAAAAGTAATTTAAAGTGATTAAATATTTACATTTATAAAGTCGTATTCAGGGTCAAGTTGAGTGATCTAAATTTTCCGGAAGGAGGTAGCCAAACGAGGGAGAGAAGGGGTGAGATTAGAGGGTACGTTTGACAGATGACACTTGTCGATATCGTGTTTCGGTTAAACGCCATCGCATCCCCCTATTTCCACCATATCCGTCTTGCATTTGCATATAAAGTAAATCTCTTGGCAAGCTCGGCTCGCGTCCGCTCTCTCCGCTTTATGGACTTAAGGAGAAAAGTAGCTGGAGGTGAAGCAGGTGGCAGGTTTGTTATCACGACTTCCGATTGGCCTGGCCGTGTGCTACGCTCTTGTTAGAGAAACGTGCCGCCCGCCACGCGATATTTCCACCTCGACGTTGCTCATTTTTTTAACTCTACCCTCTACGCGATTAGAATAACTGCTTCCCGGCCGGATACGTGACCAACGGAAGTCAATTATTCCATCTCCTTTTAAACATTCTCGTTGTTTAATTAAAAGCGAAAGGTAATTAACAGGAGAAAAATTAAGATTTTTGAAAGAAGATAGATTGTTAATTAAGTTCTAAAATTTTGTCTTCATATGAAATCATTTATTTATTTATTTATTTATTTATTTATTTATAAGTCATCCTGCGATACACGAAAGTGAGAGAGGTAGAGAAAAGCAAGGCGAGCCGAGCAACTTCCAATTGTCCCCGTGCTTATTTCGCCTGTCTGAAAGACGTATGGCCCGCGACACGATATTTTTACCCTAACAAACGTGTAAGGAACGGGGGGTGGCAACCCCGGGGTGCGTTAGCAGCAGCGTAGGAAGCTGTTCGACCGACGCGACGCGACGCTGCGAGCGTATTCAAAGTCCCGTCAAGACGAAGTAATCCACCGGGCTGACTGCTCGGTTTCGTCGATCTACAACACTCGAGGGGATAATTTCATGCACTCGACGTTACATCTTTCTTTCTCCTCTTTCCGATACGACGACCCTTTTTAGCGAGCTAAGAAACGCTCGACATTATACGACCTTACCCTCATCCCTCGTCTCTCGCTGATTCTGTTTCAAGGAATTCTGATTGGAACGATAAAACGAAAGGGGGTGGCTCGAGATATGTAATAACTTCTACCGCGATGCTGATTCTTCTTCCGTTTAGATTTCCTCGGGACGATGAGCTTCAATTAGTTGTGCTTTTTCTTTTACATTGTATATTTTTCTTTTCCCGGAAGTCCTCCTTTAAACACAGAAAGGAAAACGTTGCGCGAACATTAAATTTCATACGAACTCGTGATGGTTGGTCTGAGCGTGAAAAATCCATAAATTTTGATAGGCATTAAATAAAATATTAGCGAATAGGTTGGTGGTGGGCGAAGGGAAGTTTCAGGATCGCGTACGGGCGACCAGGGGTGTTGGCTATCTCAGAGGCAGCGACTCCCCAGGGAGCCGGGATCGTTAATCGCCCGAACGATTCCCTTTCCACTCACGTACGGCAATGGGCCGTGGAATCAGCGTAAAAATACAAATTTAATATCGCCGGTGGATCGTTCGACTGACCAGTTGTAGCCTGCGGATATAGCGGTGTCGACGAGCCACCACCACGTTTTTACATCGACTAAAAACCTTTCCGGTTACGCTGAATGTGACATATTTAGATCACTTAAATTCTCACACATTTTAATCCTCCGATAGCGGAGCCAAGTCCTAATTATACGCCACGATCGAATTAGATTAGTCTAATTATAAGAGCGGATGGGGGCAATTTGTAAACCTGACATCTCTCTACGATGCAACATACAACTTCATCGATGCTATCTCATCCTTTAAAGAAAATCCGAGTACTTATTAAATAGTTAGCGAAATATTTTCTTATAATACCGTCAAAAGCGAAAGAATTTCAGGACTCGAAGAACTTATAGAATTCGAAGCTCAGTCGTCGTAGGGCAGTAATAAGGAATTCTCTCAGTTTTCTTCTAGGTGATTGGTCCTTCGGGCAACGTGGATTATCACTCGACTCATTTCGTACCTACTATCCGTTACACAAGAGTATACCGACTTATATATAGGTTAGCTGGAAGGTTGCTACTTGGTACGCGGATCGCGCTTTTCATTACCGGAGCCTCTCTCCCTCTCCTCCCTCTCTTCCGTTGCAACAGCCTAAACCAACCCTCTCTTTCTTCCGCCCTCTCTTCTCGCTTGCTTTCCACCCACTCACCCTTTCGCTCCTGTCTTCCTTCTGATCCTCGCTCCACTCCACTTTTTTACTATTACCACTGCTGTCTGGTATCAACGTTTCGTGTCGCGGCCTTGTGTCCCTTTTTTTTTTGTTCCTTTCCTCTCGTATCCCTCTCGCTTTTCCTCTCGTTCCTTCTCTCGCGGAGGGAACAAGTTCATATCAAAGTTGAAACGGTTACGTGACACAGGTATCAGTTGCGCTGGATGGGGGTTGTTCGAGAAATATCGCGAACCGTGGTTTTTTGGGAAAATCGAACGGTGATCGACGTGTACGATGTTCCTTTATACCTTTTCTCGATTCCGACTGTTGTTTTATGGGTTCTTAACTGAGAAAGTATCGCGGGATTATAGAATCTTTAAAAGTTATATAATAAAGATGTAACAAAGATTAGAAATGTAATAACATATTTTGTGTTCATCGAGTTTTGAGTTTCATTTTAATTTCTAGTTGTCATCGCACAGCCCCGAGTGCCCCCTTTGCTTCCTTTCTTTCACTCACCCTATCTGCCCCTTCTTCGACTATATAATCGTCTTATACGCCTTCCGGTTGCCCGCCGGCAATAACCGACACTGGATTATGCAATATTCGATATCGTATTCTCTCCCGGGGTGTATTTATACCTATCAGCATCTCGCGATCTAATCAGGAGAATGGTTTAAGCACATCCTTTCGTGATTTTTCTTCGTAATCGATCGCCGGGAGATCGGTAGCACGGGCGTGCTCGAAAGTAAATGAAATTTGTTATTTCAAGTATTAACGTGGAAAAATCCTTCGAAATTTTTCTATCATCAGACGTATTATCTACCGCGGAGCCATGTTGAAAAAGAATGCCAAAGGAAAGAACAAGAATAGCGGTGTTGTTCGGGGTGAGTTAAAAATGCGACTCGCGGTGTTCTTGTTGCAGAACTGCACCGAGTTGAAAGACTCGAGCACGGAGGAGGTGAGCAGCGGGGCGTCGACGAAATTCGGCGACTCGTCGCCGATCAGTCTGACCCAGGAAGATGGCTCGTTGTCCGACAGTGGCATCTCCGACAGCGGAAGCGAGCAGGAGCTGAGCGAACGTGAACGCAGGCTGGCTGCACTTCGTCGATTAACGCGCAGTTTGGAGAATCAACTGGCACCGGGAAGCGAGGCGCTCGGCCAGCTTTGGAAAAGAGTCGAGGACACGGAAACGAAACTCCGTGATCTTCAGAAACAGTGCCGGGAACTGATCGTACGCACTGCGGCAAGTGTCGAAGCACGGGCCTCCAAGCGGACGAGCAACAGCCAGGTCCATCACTACTCAGAGTGAGTACCTTTTATTTTCTTTTATTTTTTTCATTAATTTCCCTCGCTTAAAAATGAATCCTTTAACACCCTGAATTTCGTGCATACACGATAGCGAACGGGTTAAGAAGCTGGTTATTGGTAAACATTTTTCTTGGTGTACGGTCTTGGTAGTTTCTTAGTTTATTCAGACGCTTCGAGACTCTCGAGGGAATAAAGAATGATTCTCCTCGGCTCGCATTCCATTTGCATAACGTCGAAATGAGAAGCAAAGAATGAAGGCGTCTATTTAGACGTGGGGACAAGAGCTCGACCCGTTCATAGTTCTACTCCCATAACGCGTTCGCTCATTTGAATATAAGAAGTTAGCTGTGAATGAACGCCTCCCTGTCTGTCTCCTATCCCGTTAAAATCCCGTTCGAGGTCTCTAAGTTATTGGCGACTATTTTAGTTGAAAGTGTACGTTTGCAAATTTATAAATTTTTCCACGTCAAACGAAGGAAAGTAGAAAGTGTGTTTCCTTGTTTTACTTTTCTTCCCGATCCGCTCTTTCAATCGCAATTACTACGAATTCCCATTATCACCGGGCCACCTTATTTAACTTTGTTCGAAGAATGCTTTTTGTTATAGTCGCGTTTAATCACTGTTCGCTGGCTACAGTAATAGGTTTAGTTTTCGCTGTAGCATAGAATGCCGACCATAATGCATCGTAAAAAAAGTTGTAAAAGCTCGTCGCCCCTTTTTCTCGCCTCGCGCACTCCCCCTCTTTTCCCCATTTTAATCATAGAAACACCTTCTGACACCTTGTCACTTATTTTTTCATTTTAAAAAGCTGCGTATCCGCGAAGACACGTATCTAAATGCGATTTTCCTTGAAAACTTACCTTTTACTCGTTTCCCGCTCTGGGTTTCGCCCATGGGATGCCGTAAATTAATTAGCTCGATTAACGCAACACCTTCGACTCTCCGCACTGCGGGATGTTGTTGGTACTAGGTTTTGATATTAATTTAATCTTGAACATGGAGACTAATATGATTATCAAGTATCTTATTTACTTCCTCTCATTCCTTACAGCACAAATCTTAATGCTTCTTTTAATAACTAATTTATTTTTACTATATAGAGATTCTCATATTTTAGAATTTCCAGATCCTCTATAATTATTTATATACATTTTCCTTTTTCCAGCATGCACGAGTTCGCATCTTATTTATTCATCCAATTAATACTTACGCTTCAATTTTCACTTAATTTCTATGCTTTTCAGTCACAATCTGCACACCTGTCTTCCAGATCACTGTGTTACGAAAAAGGCTTAATTTTAAAAAGCACGCATATTTGTATGAATTATCCGCAGTTCCGTAAGCAACCTCTTCCGCCAGAAGGCCAGGATCCTCGTTCAAACCTTTTCCAGATCCTCCACGTTCGAGAAGGTGCCCAGGAGAATTCTCTAATAAACACGATTTTTCTTTTCCTCTGTGTATTTCTGCAGCAAGCGTAAAAAAACCAGCCCGACGGAGATGGCGAGAGGAAATTCGGAGCGGATCACGATGATCACTGCGAAAAGTGGCGTGACGGATGCCGGGGATCCCGACAACGAGCCAGGACTACCTCAAAGTTGGGTCTGGCGTATCCTGAGGGCGGCATTACCCTTTCAACTAGCTCTGGTCGCTCTATTCTGTGCCGCTTGCCTCTTGGAACCTCATTGTTGCGAGGCTGCCAACACTCTAAATCTATCTCTCACCCCTCAACTACGATATGTAAGGGGACCACCACCGGTCTGAGCCACCCAACGCTCGACCATTTGGGTGAACACGTTGAACAGAGCCGAAGCTCTAATGATAAACAGCGTTCGGATCGACTAATTTCTCCTGTCACCTGACTTTGTAGCTTCGTAGAGAGAGAGAGAAAAACGGATTCGTTGATCGCGATCACGAACGCAGGATCTAGAAAGGGGTGGTAGATCGTTGTTAGACACGAGGAGCGCACGATTTTCGGTAAATCGAGCTAGCTGGTACACTGCCAACGTTGCCGGGTTATTGAAATTTATTATCGAGTATTTTACTTCGGTTCCTGTTTTTCAATGAACCACTTGGGATTTATCGTAGACTGCATACAGGGTGTTCTGTGCGGAATTTGAACAATACATTAGAAATATTTTTCTATTGAATGTATTATAATTAATTCTTCATGAAAATAATCGAATTTGACAGGGATTTATCAAGTACACTTTGCAATTTTATATTGATAGTAAAAATAATTATATTTCTGATTTCTAGTATTCAGATTTTCTCAAGTTACTTCGATGATACAATTTGTCCAAATTCCACAGAACACTGCTTAGAATTCATGAAATTTCATCTACATTTTTGAAGAAACACTTGAGAATTGATATCTCAATGAATTGCACAAAGTTATACCCTTTTCATATCAACGTTTACACACATATGTTTTATCTTGTGTCGCAAGTTTGACTGCCGTGTTAATTTCAAAGCACCGTTGGCATAATTTTCGGTCTCGTCGCATTCTTCGAAATTTCCCTGATTCACGCACTGCCAAACTTTCCTGTCAATTGCTCGCAAGCTCAAAGATGCGACGAGAGAACGAGTTCCTCTATTATCGTTGAAACCGTTGGACTTGGTTCCTCTTTTACAGACTGAGATGCAACGACCTGTGCGAAGAAAATGTGCGCTCGCTTGAAGTTGTGATATAAAAGAGAAAAAAAAAGAATAGAAAAAAAAAATACACAAATGTAATACGTAAAAGTGACTGAGGCGCGACGTAGATAGATGACAATGAGCACTAGGTCAAAAAAAAGAGATAAATAATGATCAGTGAGGATACTTTTTTTATACGTTTTTACGATATTTATCTTTTGTGTAATTGCATTAGAAACGAAGAGGATAAATAAATTTATCCAAATGCAGGATCAAATGCATTGATCTTCGAATATTAATAGAAACCTCTTCGATAACGAGAGATAAGGTTGAGAAGTATTTATAAAGAGAAAACTTTATCTTCTATGCAGAGAGCATTTACAACGAAACGAAAAATTGATCGCTGAATGATCAATAATCTTTTCTATTTGCATAATTAACGAGGTTTCGAAAGTTCACTAAATAAGTGACGATTTTGTTATATAGTATAAATTTTTATTTATATACGTTGCAAATTATATATATACATGTATTATTATTGTTCATAATTTAACGTCAATCATGATGAGGTGACATTTATGGTGTTGCTAGGGAAACAGATATACCGGAAACTCTGCTGAAGTGCAGACGTTTCATTTCCAATCATTTGCATGCTGATGTTGAATGACAGTAATACCGTTTTGTTGTTTTCAGTGATTTGTTTCTTTTGTTCTTTTTTTTACGATGGCTGTTTGCAGCTTACGAGAACAAAGGGGGTGGCATTAAACAATGCCACCCTGGAGGTTGCGATGGGATTTAATTTAATATAACCTGAAAAAAAATTTTTTCGTTTTTAATTTCTTTTCCTTTGTTATTAATAGCGTAAGTATCAATCAAGATTGTATTAAATGAAATTCTTTCGCGCAGTGGGTTATCTTTTTGCTCGTTGCAAACGGCCCAAATGCTTCGAGGCCAAAAAGAAACTCTCGATCATTCTGATTCGCAGCCACACAAGTCTGCAATTCTAATGAAACTAACATCGGACTGACAGGTTCGTGCGACTGGTCTCCAGTGATAATTTCATTAAAATGCCAGGCGATGTCGTGTTCGATATCGTTTACGTAGCATCTTCTACGTAGAAACTTGGCTCGCGACCTTCTCATTTCGAAGAACCTTCGAGTACTTTCGAATTCCATCGACAGATTTTTTTTTTTTTAATCAATCCACTCACGAAGAGTCGCTTGAGTGTTGCATAATATTTGCTCTTCGTGAGTACACTTACGAGTAAAGGTTGTTAAGGATTGTTTATGTTTCGATTGAAACACACCCTTTTGCAGCATGATTCCTCTGCAATGAGGATCATGGGGGTGAATGCTCGATCAATGAATATAAATAAACAGGGGGAGGAATGATGATAATTGAAAGGTATGAATTTGTACATTGCACCATGGGAATGGTGTTAGAATTAGGGGTAGGTTTTCATAGGAGTTAAAGGAGAACGTTAGAAAATCATTTCTATATATTTTGCATGATACAGGATTTTTATTCTTACGACTATTAAATTGTACAATGGTTTGGTGATGTTTCATAATATGTATACAGGGTGTCCCCTTTTAATCAATTAATAAAATTGCACCTTGACGTTGGATTTTTATTTTAAAAAATTTTCACTATTTTTTATACAATTTTTCAAGAAATCATCTGAGTGATATTTTAAGTGATAAAAATTTATATTTACACATGAATTTGGATTGAAATGGAACACCCTGTTTGTAAGCTTGTATAAAGCTCGGACAGTAGATTTTTATCGAAGATAATTGCTGAATATCGATTGCTGTGATTATATCGATATGCTAATCGGTCTTCGATAGAGACAATAATTAATTTGATCAGTTTGATGACTGCACGAAATATCGAGTGATAGAGGATAACCGGTGATCAAAATATCGGTGAAAATTTGGAATTTTATTTTTCTACATTTTAGAGGATATTCTTATTTGTCAAAGCTAACGGGTAGTTTACAACATTGGTTCAGTGTTTGCTTTTTAACGAACGTTCACAACGATTCGTTTGATTTTCAGCTCGAAACAGCGAGCTTCCGTTTCGTCTTCTGTGCCGGATGTTTTTTTATGAAAAGCACAGCCGTTTTGAATTCTCCAATTCGCATACTTTTTATAACTTTTAATATTCGAAAAATGTAAGATAAACTAGAGAGGTGAATAATTCATGTAAATATGTGCGTATATAAAACAAACGAATTAATCGCACCTATAAGAATGATCAATATTTTTTCTAAACAAAAAAACACAAAAAAAAAGAAGAGAAACATAGGCATTATATCATTTCGTAGAGGGAAAGGAAATTAGAAAGGTCTATTTTGTGAGATATTTTGCTAGGGAAAGGGATTGTAGGCGATAAGAAGAAACTTACTCGTATTCGTTCAATTTTATTATTAGAATATACACAATTATTATACGCTTCGATGTGAAACGTCTGAAACACTGATGATGATTTTGCTTATAAATTTTCAAAAAATTATTTCAACACGCCTTAAAGATTTGCGGGGCTATCGCGACCCCTATAATCCAAGGAAACATATCGAAAAAAAGAATAGCGCGAGAGAATAAAAATTTTTTCGAAAAAAAACGAACGATTCGCCAGAGTTGTTAGTGTGAAGGCTTTCGCAGTTGATGCACGATGCTTACCGTGTAAGCGTACACGTTTACGAGTGTGTTTTGTGTTTAGCAGTAGCGATAGTACACCTCTGCCGGATTATGCATTCATCCTTGCGTTGCTATTACGACTATTTAGATTCTAATTTGCATGCGGTTTTTACGTTTAACGAATGCTACGATATAAGGTCAGTGTACGAACGTATCGTTATGTATTTTGGGGGAAAAATCGATAAAAATGAAAAAAATGGTATAAAGGATATGAATTTATGTACGTTTACTTGCAAGCTGCAGGTTATATTATACGATAATTTAGATTTTTACAGCGGCTTGTAGTTTCGATTTCTAAATTTAATTTCATGGTAAAATTTTATGGTAAAATGAATCATTTAAATATGGTCATTTCGTTGAGGAAGAAACTGCAGGTCATTTTTGCAAGAAAGTTTGATTTGAAATTTCTACTTTCGTGAGTATGATGCCTCGTTGGATTCTTGCGTCTTACTTACAAATTAACCCTCCATGAACCGTTTTTTTGAGTAGTATTATTGATCAGTATATATTTTATTTTTCACAAGCATTCTTTACCTTTCTTGACGGACAACGAGAATTCATTTCTTTTTGGACTTTGGTTCACGGAGGATTGAACTTGATTGTATTGATGAAATTCAATTACAATTCATCGAAGACGCGATCGAATTTAATTATCGAAGTTTTATATTTTATTTTGTGACTTTGGCGCCGTAATTTTGAGTAACTGCATGACACCTTAGGACAGTGAGTGAAAATCAATATTTAAGGTTTTTCTTTTTAAATTTATCCATAGATTTTGCCCACAGGTTTTCTTCGACTGTTAATGTGAGAACTTTGCGTCAATTACAGCGCCGAATTTTATTACCGTAAGGAAAACACGTTCGTTCAAATTACAGAATTTAATATTATCATTTAATTAATGATTTCTTTATTTTTTTACAAGTTTCAGATTTTGCGTTTTTGATAGATTAAAATAAAAATTGCCCATACAGTGATTAAAGAGAGATGAAAATTTCAACATTGAACGAACGCTTTTCCATATGGTCTCACTAACTGTTTATTTCTCTTAGAATAAGTAGCATTAATTTTATTTGCTCAGACTTGCGCGCGAGTTTGCCATTCACTCCATTTCAGATGTACCGCTCCATTCGTATGAAATTTTTTCACTCCATTCAATCATCGTTCACGCATCATTGCATCTATCACGTTCTATACTTATATTGAAACAGTACCGATAATATTTTCTACGATTACCAAGTATTCTAGTGTATTTTGGCACTGTGGAGAAATGAATTACAGTTTTGGACAACACCACGACTTTCTTCATTCGCTGTTACAGAAGCCTGCACGATTCATTCATATCCTTCTATTAAGATATTATTTTCATTCTTTGGAATCTTAAATAAATTTCAATTTTCTTTACAGATTTTATTTTACAGTCGTTCG